ATCTGTCATTTTCCTATCTACTTTTATTTAGTGATTTACAACCAAAATAGATAGCGACAGGAATCAATATCTTATGTTAATAGATTGATTAGATACCCTCCTATCTGAACATGTTTTGTTGCATGGATAAAGAACCAATTTTCTGGCTCAAAATCTATTTCAAAAAATTTTTCAAGGTGAGTAGGTTTTTATACTGTCATTTTCCTGGCTTCTTGAAATCATTAATAACAAAAACTACATAGATTTATCTGAGTTATTTTAAGAAATACTGTTGTTTTCTGCAGAATATAAACGTCTTCGGCCAGAATATTAAATTAAGTTATATGCTATAAAATGGCGAATTTTTCATTATCCTGGCTTATGAATGCCAGGACATTAAAGTGTTTCCAGAAATTCTCTTTAACTGCTAATAGTGTAAAGAGGGAAAGCAAATATTAACCTAATACCAAGTTTATGTATGATTGTAATATGCTTGGATGTGATCAAAGTTATTTATTTATTTAATGATTGATTATTATACACAATTTTATTTTGTGCATATCAGCAACAAAATTTTTTTTGTTTCTTTCTACAGTGGATAAAAAGAATTAATTTAAGCAATTTATGGTCCATCTAATATAAATGCTTAAGTTGAGTTACTTACTATTAACTTAAAAGGACTGTTTTTTAAACTTCCAAGGTAATATGTCATTTTCCTGGCATTCAAGATTTGGTGAATTTCTATTTTATTTTTTTTCTCGAGCAAATGTCAATAAACTACACTGCTGTCTATAAGATATTAATAAGCGTAGCTAAAGAAGTATACAAAAAAAATTTTACATTATTTTGAAGACTTTAAATTTGAAGAAATTTTTTGGTCCGAACTGTCATGTTTCGTGAGAATCACCCATATATGTTCATAACGAAGTATTGTTGATACTCAAAATTGCTTCTTGAAAATATCAAGTACTTATTTCTTGATACATATGGGTATTTGTGTAAAACAAATGACGCTCACTTTATAATCTGAATAAAGTTTAAAATTATTTCCTCATTGCAAAAAATTAAAAAAAAATCGCTAAGTGTCCTCCATTATGTTATCGATAAATTTGCTCATATCGTGAGTGAACAAATCCTTCTTAAAAAATTAGAGTTCTTATTTCATGAAACGTATTGGTTGGTATTTTTTTTTTAAAAAAGTGATGCTTCCTTTTAAGTATGAAACAAGTTTCAAATGAATTACTCATTGCAAAAATTTATAAAAAATTCGCAAATTATCCTCCATTGTAACAATAAATATGCTCATAACGTAGTATTATAAAAAGTAAACAAATCGTTCTTAAAAATTTTGAATACTTATTTCTTAACAAATGCGGGTGTTTTTTTAAGAATTGTCACTCACTTTTTAATCTGAAAATAGTAAGGAATGATTTTCTCATTCAAAAAAATTTTAAAAGATTCGCAAATTAAACTCTAATAACTACAAATATGCCCGTTACAAAGCATGGTTTGGACTAAACAATTGCTTCAAAAAAATGCTGAGTATTTATTTCCTCACAACTATGGATATTATTGAAAAATTTGTCACTTTTTACCTGAAACAAGATTCAAATGAATTTCTCATTGCAAAAAATTATAAGAAATTCGCAAAGTGTCCTCCATTTTGTTATCGATAAATATGCTCATACTGTGAGTAAACAAATCCTTCTTAAAAAGTTTGAGTACTTACTTCTTGAAAAATGTTGATACTCTTGAAAAAGTTGCAAAATACTGCTGAAGTTGCAAAAAATACTCATTGCAAAAATTTTTAAAAAATTCACAAAGTGTCCCCCATTATGTTAACTATATATATGCTCTTAGCGTGGCATGGTTCTCAGAGTTTAGAGGGTGACATGGCCTCAAATGTTTAAATACCCATAGATGTGAAGAAATAAAACCCCGACATTTTTAAGATTAATTTGTTTAGTTCAAACCAGGCTACATAAAGTGTATACATACAGTTAAAAAAAAATGGTGGACACTTTGCGAATTTTTTATAATTTTTGCGAAGAGGAATTTTTTTTAAAAATTTTTCAGATTAAAAAGGAAGCGTCAGCTTTTTCAAAAATACTCATTAATGCGAAAAAATACATACCCACAATTTTTCAAAATTACCCACATATGTGAAGAAATAATTACTAAAATAGTTTTAAGAAGCATTTGTTTAGTCTAAACCGTGCTTCGATAAGAACGTATGTATGGTTAACATAGATTTCAAAGGGAGCTACACTTTTTTCAAAAATATCAATGTTTCAAAAAATAAGTGCTCCAATTTTTTACTCACGGTATGAGCATATTTATCGATGACATAATGGAGGACACTTTGTGAATTTTTTATAATTTTTTTGCAATGAGAAATTTGGTTCAAACTTGTTTCAGATTACAAAGTAAGAGTCAAAATTTTTCAAAAAATACCCTTAGATGTGAAAAAATAAATACCCAAAGTTTTTAAGAAGCGTATGTTTAGTCCAAACCATGCTACGTTAAGAGCATTAATATCGTTAACGTAATAAAGGATATATTGCGAATTTTTTTTATAATTTTTTGCAATGAGGAAATCATTTGAAACTTGTTCCAGGTTACAAAGTGAGCGTCAATTTTTCCAAAAATACGAAAATTACTTATTACATTCCTAAGTTACTTATTTTCAAGAAATAAGTTATCAAAATGTTTAAGAAGGATTTGCTTATTCCAAGCAATGATATGTTAAGAGTATATGTATAGTTGACGAAAAGGAGGACAATTTATGAATTTCTTACAATGAGGAATTCATTTTAAACTTGATTAAGATTAAAAAATGAGCGTCAATTCTTTTAAAAATACCCGTATATGTCAAAAAATAATAACACAAAATTTTTAAGAAGTAATTTTTAGTGCAAATAATGCTACATTAAGAGTATATATATATTTTTATAACTTTTTCCGATGAGAAATTCACTTGAAACTTGTTTCAGATTTAAGATTTAAAGGTAAGCGTCAAATTTTTCAAATAGACCCATAGGTCTGAAAAAATAAATACCCAAATTTTTTAAGAAGCATTTGCATCTTAATTATTTACCAAAACTATTGTCCTTTGTTAATTATTGTCCAAACCATTTATCAAAAAAAGAGCCATTTCATGTTACTAAGAGCTTTTTAGGAAGGCTAGACTTTGATCTATACTGAGGAAATGGGGTGTAGGGCTCATCCTATAGACAAGATGTCATCGATCCGTAGTGGGGTGTAGTGATAATTCCAAAACAGTATAAAAACAGAGGTTATCAACCACAAAAGTGGGGATTAGCACTCATTTTTCTCTGACTTGTTTGAATTCTTTCAAGAAGCATCAGATGAATTTGAACACGTAACATTTGAATGAATTTTGACATTGAACATTTAAATGAACACATAATTTTCAGTATTGCTAAATTCATCTAATTTTCTTAGATAACTTCAACCAGTTAACACTAAACATACATTAACAAGTCAATAGACTGATTATTGTATGGTGTATTTTATTGTAAAGTGTTAGTAAGTTACCTTTACTTAATAAGAGGAGTTTCGAAAGTTAACATTATCATTTTAACATTCTATTTCATTTTTGACATGGTTTGCATGCTGAGACAAGTTTATCCCCCTGAGTGATATTCATTTATGGGGCTAGGTAAAAGACCTTGGGATGGGTTATCTATAAAAATTTAATTGTTTCTGTAGTTGCAGAAGGAATTATGAACAGCCTTCTATTTTGCTGCTTATATTATGCTTTTTATAAAATGACTAACAGCAATCTTTTAAAAATAATCAAACAATTTCAGCATATTTTGGAAATGTATGAGAAATATTAACAACTTGAGATGATCTCAACTAATGTCATTTTTAACCACTTATACAGCCTTATTTCCTTATAGTCAATTAATACTTAAAAAAATGACAAAAAATTTAAATCAAAGCTAATTTCATTTTTAACACTGTATAGTTTGTGCATTAATAGTTCCTTCCTATCACTTCTAAGTCATCATTACAAATTAGTTTTCTGGTTTGTGTGGTTACATTCAAAATAAAATTAAAAGAATCTTAATAATTTAAAATTTACAGAATGTTTTACTCAGATTTATTAGCTTTTCCTTTAGAATTTTCAAATCCAAAATAGTAATTTAATTCAAACATAAACTAATTTATCTTACAAGCAATAGCAGGACACTTTCAAAAAATTTAAATTTGGTTGCAAAGATCCTAAAACATTTTGATAAATCAACCCATCGATACTTTTCCTGAACAGTTTACATGACAGAATTAGTTTTTGTGGCAAAGTTTGCAGACAGAAATGCAACTTTCTATGCAGAAAATCCTCAACACAAAAAATTTTCAAAATATTATAAAAACTCAAATCAGAGTTACCACAGATTCTACAATTTTTTAAATCAATTCAATGTTATAAAAAGAAATTTAAACCTTAATTTCTTTCTACACAGCATGTCATAAAAATATTAACTTTATTGGCAGAACTAATTGCAGGCTTTCTTGTTAAGTAGGAAATCATGATAACAAATTTTCAAAATGGTTTGAAAAGATAACTATTAATGTAATACATATACTATTTCTAGAAATTTTAATTATGCTGCTTTTAAATATTCCAAGTAAATATTTCAAGTTAAAAACAACATAACCAAAAATGTTGTATTTAACTTTCCATATTTTAAAGTTCACCAACCAAAAACTAATACATAGAATAAATCAAACTTTTTCACAAATAAGAATTGCTGTATCAGTTTTCAAAAAAAATAATGGTTATGCGGCTTAAGAGCAAAATTGCCTGTGAAAGAAACATTAAGTCCTCTGTTGTCAAACAACGAAATTAATTTCCAAACCAGTCAATATTATTTAATAACTGCAGACTAAGATTTAACACACAGCCCTTTCTTGCAAATTAGTTTACTAAAATAAGTATTAAAATTTTTTTTTTTTTTAAAAAATCATACAAAATATCAAATAAAAGCGGGAACTATTTTACAACATACTTTTTTATATCAATAAAATTACAACTTTTACATCTGATTAACACATAATAGTAAGCTCAATATTCACAAAAATATAAGCAGTTGTGAAAAAGAACAATTTTATTGTATTACACTGAACAATAACTTATACAAGATACATAAAAATCCTGCAATAAATATTGGTTCATATTTCACAAATCAATTTAGTTTGTACTATGAATGGAAATACCGGCTTAGAGTCAATGTTTAAAACTTAACTTAATATAAATATTTAATAATAAGAAAGCAGTAAGATTGACCAGTTTTTGTTCATTAACACTATGTTCATTTCCTTATGGTAAATAAAAATAATAAAGAGATATTTTGAAAAACAATGAAAAGCAAATTCCTCTGTCAACTTTGAACAGTACTTAACTAAGTTCTTCTGTATGATATAATATACATATATATATATATATTCTTAATTATTAAATCTTTTATAGGAAACTACATATAATTGAATGTTAGAATAATATTTTATTAAGATAATATATTATTAATAGAGAAAATAATGAAAGAGCAATCAAAATATGCACACTAAAATATGAAGTATAACCTAAAAATATTTTTTTTAGTATTTTGAGATCACAGTTTAGAATATATATAATCTTTTTTTGTCTTTTTTTTTAACATTGATCAATAACCAATTTCTATAGATAATTAACAATTTATCTCTAAACTTCACAAAACATCAAATCAAATGTTACTTTACTCGTTTCTCACTATTGTTGGCAATTCAACATGAACTCTTTTGTTTTAATATAATAGTAGATGATGATGACTCTCAAAATATAAATGAAAATGAATTTAAAATGAATAAAATAAATCACTGTTCTGATGAAGGATGTGTTGTTATTCTGGCGGTTTCATCACTGTGTGCAGTTTGAGGCTTAGAGTTTGTAGCTAATGCTGTTGAACTTTGATGAGGTGATAAGATTGGTGGCATTGTCAAGTTAACACTTTTCGATTTTTCAGCATACTTGGATACATCTGGAATTAGAGGCCAGGGACTAGATTCAACTTTGCTCAATCTTTCACTCAAGGCACGTAAAGCAATTTGCCTGTAGAAAAACAATTTTTTTTAAAAATTTGATATACAATTTAAACGAGAGCTTCTTAAAATTTTTACTGCGGAGACAACTCACAAGCAGAAAATATTTGTGTGACCCCTCATATATTGGTGTATGATAAGGGTGTATGTACATTAAGTATGTTACTGGTATATTACCACATAAATAAATGAAGACGAAAAATTTCAGATCATATAATATACTTGAAAAAATATATATACATTTTAAGAATTTTTTTCTTCTTTTTTTGATTTTTACTTGTTTTTTCAATTTTGTTAATTCAATAAAAACAGAGAATATAGTTTTAAGCAAATACTTAATCAGACATAAAGCTTCATAGATAAGCTGCAAAAAATGAATTAACAGAAAATGGTGTTACAAAATAACTTATTTTTAACATATTTCACACAGGAAAAAAAAATTGAAGAGTAAAAATTCTTTAATAAAGAAAAATATAAATTATAGCTTATCTGGTATTATATGTTTCTTTTCACAACATCAAAAATATGTAATTAAACATGTTTTTTACAATTCCTAAATTATAAAGTTATTAATACCAAATGATTCAACAACATTTAATGTTATGATTCATAGTTCACAAAGCTCTTATTTAAGTTATGTCTATACATAATTAAAATTTTAAAAAAAAAGTCCATAATATTCTTTTTAACTAATCATTCACCCTTTAAACTAAACTGCAACTATTACTTAATTGGTCAGGATATGCAGTAACAATACAGTTTTTAATGGACACCCATAGTTTGAAAGTACCTAAAAAAAATTCTAAATTAGGGAACAATTTAGAGAATTAGAAAAATTATTTACATTGCTCAAAGAATGTTTAGTAATGTAAGTAATACAGGTTTAACACTGCAATCCCCAGTAATAGTTTTTTAGCTAAATTAATTGTACAGAATTTGCTTCAATAATAGAAAGTTTAGATTAGTTTTTGTTATTCTTATTTTATGGATGTGGATTAATATTTCAAAAGTATTGGGTAAAACCCAAGAGTTATAAATGAGTATTTACCAAAGTAATTACCCCTGACCTGGGGAAATACCCTAAATCAGAGAATACTCATATAGCCTAAATCAGGGTATTATAGCTTTTAGACATTTTTAAAGCATTTAAACATGGTTTGGCTTTATTATGGTCTTGAGAATATTTAGGGTTCATTCTCACTCAAAAAGAAGAAATTGTCTCTTTACTTTCCCAAGTGAATTTACATAAAATTCCAGGTTTAAAAAAAAAGCAAAATTTTAACGAAATTTATATTTAATAAAAATATATTATACATTGGTTTATTTAACACAGGAGTAAGAATAACAAATTACAAAACCCCTCCCACCAGCAGAAACTACGTCATTGAGCAAATCTACATCATCTACAAGCTAATGGGTATCGGCAGGAAAAGGAGTGAGCAGATATGTAATCACATTTAAGAGGCATTCACACGGAAAGCCAAAATATTTTGCATATGATTTCGGAAATGTGAGCGAGAATCTGATTGGTGAGTTTTTCACGGTCAAGTGTGCTTCACCAATAAAGTTCTTATTTGCATCTCCAAATTCACATGCACCAATTTTTCCCATCCACTGTGGATAGTTTTTTACACTTTTGATGATGATTGACGATAGGAGATTCGTGATGACAAATACTTGTATAATAATTTTGGCAGATTATCAAATGCAGAACATTATTTTAATGTTTTTATAACAGGTAATCTGCCGATTATATGCTGCAGATTACGATACATTTAATACAAAAAATAAATAAGCACAACATTATGTAACTTAAATTATTTTTAAAGAATGTAGACAATTTATTAAACAAAAAAAAGTTAATTCAACATGTACCACAATATCGATGAGTAAAACTAGTGTCTTAAATAATCTGATTTTCTGAAAATTAAATAATAATCAATTAAAAAAATTTATGTTAAAGTCAATGATTAAGATAATTTGCTATGCTTTAGATTTTCATAAGTGAGAACAAAATATATAATCTGTTTAAAATAATAAAAATTTCAAATATAAAGCAATCACTGTAAAAGCAGAGTTAGTTAGAATTTACAGGAATAAACAAAAATTCTGAGTACTTGAGCTCAGAAAATGTCAGATTTCTGTGTGAAGTGACATGTCCTAATAAACAAAAATTTATCAGAATCAACACTTCAAAAAATTATTTTCAAATGTTAATTCTTCAATACCGGCCAGAATAGCTTGGTTATTAGGGCATTGGGCCCCATGTCCAAGAGGTTGTAAGTTCATTTCCGTTCGTCGAAGACTCCTTGCGACAAAATGGTGATTGGTGCACACCAAATCTGCCAGAATCACAGTCTTCCTAGTTCCTAAAACAAATCAATACCACGAGGGGTACTGAAACGGAGATCGACCGTGCTCTGACTCAGGTCAAAATTACAATCTGGGGATGGATGGAAGGGTCCTGGGGAATGTGTCCTGCCTGTAAAACATGCTGCGATGTATGTGTGTGACAGATGAATTCTTGGACATAGATGGCGCCACTGGAAAACAAGAAGCACACCCCTTTGTCTTAAAATAGGCTTTTTTGTATAGACAAGTGGCATAAGACAACAACATAGCTCATCTGCCTTGATAGCCCAACGCATAAAGTTTAGCACTTCATGGTAGAACAGTAAAACAAGAACTAATACTGTGCACCCACTACTCTGTGCAGGCTGATAAAAGTGGGCAGCCTCTTGTTTACTGACCGCAATCAGTGATGCTTGACTTAGGTGTTCTACTGGGAACTGTGTCTTTACGATCAGTCCACTGTAGGTCACATGAGTTGAGAACAAGGGACAGTAATGACATTTTACCTATACTTTTCTTAAAAAATATAATTTAAAATATGTAATGTGTCTGATACATATTCTTGTCTTTCTTTGTGAGTAATTCTAACAAATCATACAATAATTAAAATAAATATTTTATTGAGTAATATCGCTGAATGACGCAAAAGTTAACGAAATGAAAAAATAACATAAAAACCCAGTAAAACTAAAAATGGATCAGAAGAAAATGCATTATTTAAATGTAAGAAAACAGAAACAGAGTTCAGTTTTAAAATATATTACTTAACATGAATAAATTTTTTTTTCAGTTCAATAATATACTTCTGGTTAAATTTTAATGGTTGGATGCCTGGTGTCTGAGAAGTAGCGCTTCATGCTCCCATGCCACTTGTCTGGGATTCTATCCTCAGATCGGGCAAGGTTGACTAAGCCTTTCATCCATTCAGTGGATAGATGAAATAAATGCCAAGCATGCTTGGAGACTAAACACGGAAAGTTGTGTGTTTGACAAACTGCACAAGAACATCTGCTCTTTGAACGCCAGTGTTCAAGGTCAAGAAAACTAGGATGTTTACAGAAGACTTTGTCCGTAGATGGTTTGTTCTTTTCTAAGTTTAATAGTTAGTTTTAAAATTGCATTACCTAATTGTAGAAAAAATATTTGGCATAGAAATGAGTATTTCTGGAAGATTTAAACATTCTCAGATAAAGAAAGTTAAAAAAAAAAAACAATAATTTTCATACAAGTTCACAAATTATCGATTGAATAAGATTTTTTTCTCAGTAAATAGCAACTAAATTTTAGTAGAATTTGCACAAACTTCAATACAGAAACAATAGCAATAAATAAATGAATGAAATAAAAAGAAACAAAATTAATGAATCTTTTCTTCAAAGACAAATTATAGATTGTATAGTGAATGAAAACATAACACACATACATGAAGGAAAAAGTAGCACCTACGAACATTTTTCATCTTTTAGCTGCGACCGATTACCGACAGATTTTACAACACATAGAAAAACCTTAAAATGTGTCTACCTTTCCAACTGTTATACTTTTCTTCCCAACAAAAACAAATTTAAAATAAATATTGCTTACTGCCTCAAGGTAAAACTTGCTGCACCTTGATAAAACAAGATTTTGTATCACAGGACAGTTTTATTTAAATCAATTTTATACCAAGAAGAAACAACAATACATTTTTATCCATCTTAGGCACATATCAAGAAAACACATATTACACAAGGAAAAAGAATTTTTCAGTTTGAAGATAGGCTATTAAAACAATCAATGTAGAATTATGATGAATTGAACAATATAAGTATATAGGACAAATAATTTCTAAAGCATTTATTGCAACTAAGAATGATGAATACACATTTTCCTTAAGTCATGCCACAAGTTTGATAATGCAGATATTGTTATTTTCAAGACATGGTGAAAAGAGAATAAAAATTGAAAATTTTTAATAAGAATTAGAAACTCAATAAAAAAAAAATTTTTAACTTTGGTGATGTTATTTAATTCTGGTAATGAGGGAAAATAATCTGTTTCAGAAAAAAAAAATCTGAACCAAAATACATTTATCAAAGTTTAAAGTCATAAGAAGTTACATGAAATAACATAATACTAAATAAGTTCATAAAATATTTTATTTTACAAATGCCACACACTGTTACAAACATTACCACCTATGCCATTAGTGCAAATGCTCTCCAGTATTTTCAATTGTATAATTAAAATTCAGTACTGCAGAGTGTCCTAAATGTTCAGCAGTCATTGAAAGAATGGAGTCAGAAGGAGATGAGTCAGGTGTGTCGGCTAAGCTGATACAAAAGAGAAGAGACTTCAAACAGTCATGTCCAATTAAAAGTCTAAAGCCAGCCACAGTTGCTTTTCTAGGGGCACTAGGAACAAAGTCGGGGTTTTCATTAAGGATTGTTCAGCTCTTATCCTTAGATGCCTCAGCTTTTTTTTAAACCTTAAGCTCTGCTTAAACGTCAAATTAAAAGTTTCAAGGAATGAAAGGTCGGCATTCCTTTAGGTCTTTAGACAACTAATGCTCCTATTTTTTTTGCAAATATATCAGCTTGTTCATTTCCTACGATTTCACAGTGCACAGGTACCCACTGGAAAGAGATTTTATGGATAGTATCTTTTAAAAACAACCTG